ATTATTTATTTTTTATAAAAATAATTTAATAATCCCATCACTAACCCATATTCAACACTATATCGTCAAAACAAACATACTTTCAACTAATCTCGTCACTAACAATCCACACATTAACAATCTCTTCACTAACCATCCCCTCACTAACAATCTCATCCGACCTAATCTGCCAAACAAACGTGGCCTGTGAGTATTTAGAAGTAAATTATTTAATACTATTCAAATAAATACATACGATTTTCCAATTTGATAAATAAATTATTTATACATGTGGTAATCAAATCCATGTGAGTATTTATAAATAAATTATTTAATATTATTCAAGTAAATAGATGAGGGTGTGTACTATAGTATTACCTTATGGCCATGTTTGTTTCGCGGCTTGAGTGGCCGGATTGGACTACCATTGTTGTGGGTCCCATCCTGTCACGCCCTCAAAATATGATATAAATCAACCCAAGAGATTCACAAACATAATATGAAATGTATTACTTTCATTCATCAGAATTTATATTACAAAAAAGATTACATGCATTGTACTTTCATAAACATTCATTCTGAAACTACAGCATGTAACACTAATTAATAACAATAAAATAAATGCCCTACGGACTTACATCTTTCCAAGAGATAACTTGGTTACAACAAAAGAGAGTCATAAGCTCTTTACATTTAAAGCCCTCAGCTTAAAAAGAAAACATATAAACATAAAAATAACAAAAATAGAGCCTTCAGCCCCGTCCTCCCAAGCTATGCCCTTGGAGATGGCATGCCACCTGTACCTGAAAATGGTTTCCCAAGTAGGGTGAGCTAAAGCCCAGTAGAGATATACTAACACAGTGGATGATATTTAACTAAGATATAAGTATTAGATAAATGTTCAACACTTAAAACCAACTAACATCCTCTTTTCATGACTAAACAATAACGACATCAACATCTCAAACCATTTCCATTCATTTATTCAAATCAACTTATGGATATAATCCCTTATTATCTAAACAATTCCAAACGAGGCTACAACACATTTATCAACACTTCAATAGCAACCATTATTCAAACACTTCAATTTCCTTGCCATTTTACAAAATTCACATCCGAGGGAACTGGCACCCATATATATATAAGATTTCGGGACTTTCACCCTGGACACTCCGGCCAACTTAGTTTTCAATGGAGTCCATCCCCTATCTTCTCCCAAACAATAGAGTACATCCCCTATCTTCTCCCAAATAATTATACATATACAATGTATTTAAAAGCGTGTCATATACAATGACTACCAAAATTCACATATTCAACAATTTAATCAAACCGTCATATTCAATGACGTAATTCATATGATTAATTTCAATTTACCTAGTCCTCATGCAGTTTCTACAACAATCATAGCTATCTTCCACCGATAGCCCAAAACAGATATTTCTAAACAGATAAACAAATCTATGAAACAGAAAATTTGCCAAATTTTCCATAGGTGAGTGATTTATCAAATCCAACTATACCATTCATTTACACATCCTTCCAATTTCATATTTCCCTTATCAATTTCATTATTTATAAAAAATGATTATTTAACACAAATTAGGGCAATTTTTCCCTTTTCTCCAAATGTCAATCACAAGTCTAAATTTCATCATTTTAACCCATATATTCCCATCTTCAATACCCTACATATATTTTCATGACCCAAAATAGGAAAACCCCTCTTTCAAATCTATACCCAAACCCTAGCTTACCCAAATCACTCCCAAATTCCACTATTTATACATAATATCAAATACCTAGGTTAAAAGTCATACAAAAATGTAGAACATTCCTACCTCAAAGTTAGGAGAGCGAAAGAGAAGATGGAGAAACTTCAAACAAGTCGACACCACGATCTATTCGGATCAACACGAAGCCCTCAAGGTGCTCTACCTTTTTAATGAAGAAACTAGGGTAAAGAGATCCTCAAATCAAGGTGTATTTATAGAGAGAAAGAGAGAGTTTTAGAGAGAGGGAGAGTCGGATTAGGGTTTGTAGGAGAAATGAAATCAAAAAGTGATATAAAATATCTCTGCTGCGAACTGATATACGCAGTCCTCGCTCGAGCGACCAGACACAACAAGCGACCTCGCTCGAGCGCAAAAAGCGTCGCTCAAGTGTAGAATACAAAGCTTCAGAAGTTTTACAGATGCACACGCTCGCTCGAGCGCAAGAAGCCTCGCTCAAGCATAGAATACACACCTTCAGGTATTTCACAGATGCACACCCTCGCTCAACCGCAAGAAGCTTCGCTCGAGCGAAGGAACAAATAACACAAGGCTCGCTTAAGCGCAAGAAGACTCGCTCGAGAAAGGAAGTCCTTCTTTCCTAGAAAAGTTGTGTTTGGAAGAAAACCTGAGAACTCCTAATTCTCACTCAAGCGCAAGAAACCTCGCTCGAGCGAAGAAGCAAATTACAAAAAGTTCGCTTGAGCACAAGAAGCCTCGCTCGAGCGAAGAGGCCAAAATCTTGGCAACAACAATCTAACCCAACTAACAACCAACATATTCCAAACTTGCCCAACAAGTTCTAAAACTCAAGTACAAAGGGTCAAAGGGGAAAACAAGACATGAATACAATATTCAATCACGAAACTCGAGTTCGGAACACAATGAAGGCCGGGGCAAAACCGGAATCGCTATACATCCATAGCATGTTTGATAGTGAAATGGGAGGGTGAATTGATAGTCAAAGAGGCTTAGTAATCCCTTTTAGTAGGGGGATTAGCTTGGTTAGGTTTTGGGTGGGATTAGAAAAATAGTGAGGGGAATGAGTTTATTTTATATAAAAAATTTATTTTCTTAATTTAATTTTTTTTTGCCAAGTGCACCTCTTTGTTTTAATATTTGTTTTAATTTTTTTAATATAAAAGTAATTTATTTATTTATTTTATATAAAAATAATTTAACAATCTCATCACTAACCATCTCACATAGTATTATCAAAACAAACACACTTTTACTTAATCACCCTCATTAACAATCCCCACATTAACAATCTATTAATTCGCCAAACAAATGTGGCCTATATATTTATAGTCAAACCATGTGAGTATTTATAAATAAATTATTAAATATTACTCAAATAAATGCATGTGGTTTTCAATTTAATTATTATTAATTTAGATAGTGATTATTAAATATTCTTTTTTTTTAAGACAACTCAACTATATAATATCAAGTATTGATTAAAAATTATATATTATAAAATAACTTCTCTTTTGTACGTAATTACTTTTTTTAATATGTTTCATCATCACTTTTGTCATAACAATAGGTTATTCTATAATACACGCTATTTTATGTGTACTATATACAAGTGATAACATTTGTGATATTGAGATTCCTAACAATTACACTGGTCTCTTCTCATTTTTTTAAAATTTCATTGACCACCTCTGTGACTAATCCTTTCATTAACGTTGTTAGTCATAGGTGAGGATAGTGTAATTATAAAAAATCTCAGGGGAGGTAACTGCAATTTATCCTATGAATTAAAACCTAGAAAAAAAAAAAAAAAAAAAATCAATACGATTATGTCAAAATATATAGGAATTATTGTATTTTTTTTCAAACTTTAATAAGAGTTAATGTAATTTATTTAAAATAAATAAATAAAATTATGGACACCCCTTCCATGATAGTGCGTAGGTTACCAGGAGGGACCCACGGTAAAAACATTTTTTCAAAAATAACAGCAATTGGATGATAGATTTAGCCACATACTCATCTTCGCATGATTAATTTCAACAAAAATGTAGGGAACATTTTTGAAAATTTTCAGTCGAGTATAAATTTTAAAAAATAATTATAAATAAAAATTAAAAACTTGATCATTCATATTTTGGGAGATATTATATTTTTAAAAATGAACGATTCGAATTATTCAAGTGAAACCCGTGATGGCCCACATGAGCCTAAATAACAATGTCTTGCTTCCTTTCTAGAAATTGTTCCTAAAAAATTCATTTATCTGCAATGGTACATTTTATTTCAATTTTACTCTTCTCATTTGATATGAACAATGATGGGTATAGCTTAAGAAGGCCCAACTCATAGTTGGCATGGGCTGCCCGAATAATTGTTTGATTAACTATCACCATAAGACCTAGCCGATATGGCCCAGTAGTGGGCAAAACTAATGAACCAATAGTAGTTAAGCCGAGTTACCAGCTAGACACGTGTCAGGGAGGGAATCGGCCACATGGCAGACAAAGATCTTACAAGTCATTGGGCCCATGTGCCAAGCATTAAATGAAACGGTCAAAGTATTAAATGCAATAAGACCACTTCTTTAGGGCGTGGTGAAACCACCATGGCTGATGGCAGGTAGGCCGTAGACTTTCGGCCAATAGGACAGTGTGAATAGACAAGGAAATGATTGGTAAGAGATATAGTGGGTGCTTGGGAAGTGGCTATTTTAGAGACTTTTTGACTTTTTGGCTATTTTAGTAGGCTATTTTAGTTTTGTGTTTGGGAAGATGGAATGAATTTTATTTGAGTTGTTGTATTGAAAAATGGGTTGAAATGATGTTTGAAGTTAAAATGACAAATTTGATCGAGAAGAAGGAACCACCCCCTTGGCAACCTTCCTGCTGGACTTGTTGTAGGTGTCGCTAGGAAGACGAAGGCTAGTCAACCAGTAGAGTACTTGGATCTTGTCCGGCCTATCTCTTGCCGACCAAACTGCATTATCAAACATTAATTTCATAAATAATGGCAAATTTTTTAAAATTTTGAACCTTCATGAGATTACCAGTTTTAATATAGGCTTTATTCCTTCGTCGATACCATTTCTCTTAGGACACTAGTCGAGAAAACTTTCTAAATTAACCATGCTTAAACTATGATTTAAATTGATTTGAAGCACCAACATGTAGTCAATCACTAGGCTCTCTCAAATTTTCATTTGTTCCAATAATATTTGGATTATTTATGAATTAAAATATAAATACACGATAATATGCATACCAATTTCTTAATCCTTTGAACTCATCAATAATATTTGGATAGCTTCTGGACTAAAACCAGAAAACATGATAATATTCATACAATTTCGGATCCACTGACTTGGACAATAATGTTTAGACTGCTTCTGGACAATGAAATTGGAACGACATGATAATATTTATACTAATGATAATTGAAAATTATAGTTTTTGGATTAATTCCTACATTCAAAATGATGAAACATGATAATCTTCACGCTAATAATATTCGAACCGTTCTTCCTTGGACTTTGAACTTGGAAAATAGTATTTGTGGAGTCATTGTTGGACCTGATGAGTAATCACAGCAAACAATATTAAACATTGTCAGGACAACTAAAAATGAGAAATATGATAATATTCATAACTATAACATTGGACTTCATTTCCAGACTAAAAAGGAAACATGATATTCACAACGCCAATAGTATTTGACAAACTTTAAATTTCGAATTGGACCATTTTAACGTGAAAGTGGGGTTGTTTGGTGTGGCTTAATTTGGTTAACCTACAGTTTTGTGCATTGGAAAAGTTGTTTTTGACTATTTAGTTAAATTTGTTTTAAACAATTTCTTATTCTAACAATTTATTTTAACTCAAAATTTCTACACAATTTTGAAATTGTTATGTTTCCAACACCGAAGTTTGAACTAATTCCAATTGGATTAGGTTGGGATATCGTAACACACTACATGAAAATACACCTTTGGTGACTAAAAAATGCCGACTAAAAATAATTTAGTTGCTAAAGGCACACTCTTTAACTGTTGAAAAAAATTTAGGCCCGTTTGGACCTCGGCCCGAGCCCAACCCAAGCCCCTGGGCTTGGGCCATCATTTTGAAGCTCGGCCCTTGGCCTGGCCCATCGACCTGCTTAAAGCCCACTCAAGACCAAGCCTAAGGCCTAGTGTCTTTTTTAGCAAAAAATAATAAAATTTTGGTAGAAAAAATTTAAAAAAAATGTTCAGGCCCGTCCAATCCCGAGCCCCCTGGCCCGAATACCCCTTGGGCCTAGACCTAATTTTCTAGCCCGTGGCCTGGTCCGACCCTATTTTTGGCTGAAGCTCGCGAGACCCGACATGGACTGGGCTGGGCCAAATTTACACCCCTAGATAAAGCGAAGAATTTGACCTTGGGCTTCACCTTGATTTTTGCATCTATCTATCTCACCAAACAAGGCCCAAAACAAGAAGTGAAATGATTTATCCACCGAATTTATTGTGACTTGAATCGCCTAAATTTGTGCCAACTAGATGATCGGCCTTACCCTTGTATACCGCTCTATTGCGGTCGTCATCCTGTCATCTGGATGACTGGCATCAACAATTTCGGGCAATTCACGCGAAATCAAATTTTGTGGATGTAGCATTGCTCAAACGAGAAATGCTTGCTAAACCCAAAACGGGAGGGGTTCAATCTTGGGCGTCACAATATTTTGGTAATTAAATGTGTTCTAACGGGTTTTATGATATCAATAATTTAGGGAGTTAGTTCGTATGTGATTTTAGAAATTATATCTCACTCCCTGAAGTTTCTAATTTAATAACAAATGACCCCTTTTATTGATAAATTTTCAAGTCAATTAATAATTTTTAATGATGTCAAATATTTATTTCACTTAATAATTCAAATAATTTTATTATTATATAGGAGTGTAGTTAAGAATTTCATTATTTCAGTTAATTATGTTAAATAAAAAATTCTAATCTATTTGTAATTTTCCAAACTATAGAAAGCAATTCGTATTTTAAACAAATTTCAGAAGGTGCATGTGTAATTTGCTCTTAGGTTTTTATTCCGGTGCATTTTAAGCTTATAAAAAGCATAAATAATGCTTACTATTAAAGTTTAAAAAAACATAATAAAATTTATAAGTTTGACATAATTATATTAATTTTTTTTAAAATTAAAATAATTAAAATTAGTTTATTTATTGTGTAAACACATGAATAAATAAGAAAGAAAACATTTTGCTTAGGATAAAATAAATCACAACTTTTTTTCATCTGTGCAACAAATGAATTATAAATAAAAAATTATATAAGTTGTTATGTGAATTAGAATATTAAACAAATTCAACATAATTATATTGAACTTATAAAATTTAAGGAAATTTTTTTTAAGGTTCTTAATATTAAGATTTTATAAGTTAAATGACATACACTATTTTCATAATAGTTAAGATCCCTCAACATTTTTATAGAGAAAATTCGGTTTAGAGAAATTTTGTCCTAGTCAGAGAAATTTCGCCCCAATGAAATTTTTCTAAGTAGGGCAAAATTTTCTGAGTTGGGAAAAAAAATTATGAGTTGAATTTTCTCTGTGAAAATGTTGAGAGACCTTAGCTAATAAAAAAAAACATTTTGGATTTCTCCTACTACACAAAGTTGGAGAGAAATGCTTTACCAATTTTTTCTAAAATTTAATATATATATTTTTAAATTTCAAGAAAGTTCAATATAAAAAATAATAATAATAAAAAAGTGTACATAGCACCCAACGAGTAGTTTGAATGAAAAATCAATGGGGAATTTTTTTTTTAAAAAAAAAAAAAAAAAACTCAGAGGATTTTACACATGTAACAAAATAAAAAATTAATTTTATCAATTTAAATTTAAATTTTTTGATTTATTTTTAATTTAAATCATCTTTTTATTTTTGTTAAGTAAAAACTAATGGAAAAATGATATTTTGATCATTAAATTAATGAAAAAAGTATTTTAAATATTTTATGTATACTTACATTAAATTTAATGATTAAAATATTCTTTTTTAATCATTTTAACTTATTGAAAATAGAGAAAGAATTTAAGAGGTGATATGACCAAAAATATAAAAAGATAGAAAGTGTGTTTATATAGCACACCCAAACAAACTTTAAATTAAAAAAAAAAATGGTCATTTTTTAATAAATCCTCTTTCTAAGTGTTTTATTCTATCTAACCGATATTGTTTTTGAGTATTTCATTAAGTCCAATTTAATGTAATATAACCAAATCATCAGTTTTAATTTTTTGCACATGTTTCTATTTTGAAACTAATACATAACAATAGTCCTTTATTTTATGGAGAAAATCTCTCCCTCATTCTAAAGAGAAAATCTTTCCCTTTTTCCACAGAGAAAATATCTCCCTTATTCTAAGAAGAAAATTTCTCCCGCATTCCATAGAGAGAATATCAAATTTTGAACTTTGAAGCTTTTTATAATTTGAAAATTTTAAAAATAACGCAACAAAAAATCTAAATGAAAATCAAAATATAATATGAATATTTACAGTAAATAACAAACATACGACTAACTTTTAAAAAAACAAAACGCATACTAAACTTTCGAAAAAAATAAAATTCATATCAAAATACAATGTAAATGTTCACAATTTATAAGTAACATATAACTAGCCTTAAAAAAAATAACTCATATCAATGTAAACATTTACACTACAATGTGAAAACATAAAATAAAATTGAAAAAAGTGAAAATCAGTTATTTCAATTGTTCAATGGTAACAAAAATGATTGTTCAACTAAAAAGTATAGTAACAAAAACAATAAACATACAAACTTTTGAAAAATCAAAACTTATACCAAAATATAATGTGAATGTTCACAATTTACAATTAATACCAATGTGAACATTCACACTGCAACGTGAAAACATAAAATAAAATTGAAAAAAGTAAAAATCGACTATTTCTATTGTTCAATGGTAATAAAAATAATTGTTCAACCAACAAGTATAGTAAAAAAACACAACAAAATACAACTAACTTTCGAAAAAACTTTAAAAAAAAAAAAAAAAAAGAGAGAAAAAGAAAAAAAAACCCATACCAAAATACAATGTAAATGTTCGTAATTTACAAACATACAACTAACCTTAGAAAAATTAAATTCATATCAATGTGAACATTCACACAGCAATATGAAACAAAATTGAAAGAAAAAAATGAATATTTTAATTGTTTAATGGTAACAAAAAATAATTTTTCAAACAACAAATATAGTAACAATAATTAATGATATGTGAACATTCACATCTTGCAAAATATACAATTATGTCTATATCTGTATTCCAACACTTATTTTTCAGACTTTCAAATAATGTGAAATGTAAACATTCATACTGATTGACAAGAAAATAGAAAAAATGACAGCAATAGAATTAGAAATCCAAAAAAAATAAATTCAATCACTCTAAAAATAAAAATAAAAAATATCACAAACATTCTCATCTTCATCATCATCTTTATCATTATCACTATCATTAACAATCTATGTAATTTACCATTTCACCCATCTAAATCAAACTAAACCCACCTTTGAAGAATATGTTTGTAACAAAATTGACTGGACATAAACAAAATTTCGACTTACAACCATGGAGAAGTATAGAGTTTCAAACACAGAGTAACATTGGACGAACATAAAACTTCGAACACAAAATGACAGTGGAGGAACACAAAACTTCACTGCAACAATGGAGGAATATAATATTATTTCACCACCATGTGTAAACTAGAGTTTCTAAACCCTATCAAATAGAGAGTTTCGAAATCCTAGCACAATGAAATAATACTACAAATGTGAATGAAACTGATCAAAAAGAAAAACGTGAATAATGGTAGCAACAAAAAGAAAATGTGTATATACTTTTTCTATCTAATACATATCAACAATAGACATAAAGGTGTAATAGTCCAACAAACAATATAGATCAGAAAAAAAAAGAATCTCATAAAATAAAAGTATAAATATATGGGACTAACTAACGTATAATTTTTCTTGGTGAACTTATTGAGTTAGAACATCTCTAAATAGAATTTATCAATAAAAAATTCTAAAAATATATCAAAAATTTTTAATTTAAATTAATAAAGTAAAATATATATATATATATATATATTTTATCAAAATAGTCAAACTTCAAAGTTTTATTTGTAGCTTGCCCAAAATCATTTAACCCGTTTTCCTACCCAATCTGCCGGTCGGTGGTTGATTAATATAGAGAATTTGGAGAGTAGATGGCTCACCTAACTCACCTAATTTAGATGGCTCACCTAACTCACCTAATTTGGCGAATTAGGTAAATGAAAAGCATTTCTAACAAACGCACTAAATACATTTTATTTATTTTTGGATTTAAAAAAAATAATTTTGTTTACTTTTTTTTTTTTTTAGATAGTTACATTTTATTTTGGTTTAATTGATGAAAATTTTGTTTTTATAGGGTCATTTGTTATTTAATTTAAGATTTAATCTTTTTAAGTCATAAAGGTACATGTTGGAAAATCATCAAAAAAGTTATTGTCGTCAGCAACTGGCGAATGGTAGCGACGACGATAGCGGGTGGTAGTGAAGTAGACAAATATGACATTGAATAAATAGATGAATGATATGTGACACGTATATAGATAAATGACATTTGAACAGCAATTGGATGTTTGAATAAATATTTAACACATGTACATATAAATGATATTTGAATGGATAGATAGAAAGGTAAACTTTAAATAGATAGGTTTGGTGGTCAAGAGTTGGGCCCGTTTGTTTTGGATTATAACGAGGGGATTGAGATTTATAGTGAGGTGAGACCCACTAATATTATATTTGTTTTGAGAGATGGAGAGGAGATTTGTAATTCCCTCCGTACTACGAATCCTCTTAGAGAGGAGATTAGGATAGGCCTGTGGGACTTGGTATTAAAAAATAGTCTGTCGAATTATTTTTTTTTTTTAATTTTTTACATGTTGGCCATTTTGTTTTGAACATTAATGTTTAATTTTTTTTAAATTTTTTATTAAGTAAAAATCATAGTTTTATTTTATTTTTATTTTTTACGTGTTGGGTATTTTTTTTAACATTAATGTTTAATGTTTTTGTATTTTTTATTTGTTTTATTATTTTATATTTATTTAATATAAAATAAATTTAATAATTCTTACACCAACAACTATTATCAAAATAAATACAATTTTACTGAATCCCCTCACTAACAATCTTCTTACTATTAATTCATTCATTATAAATCTCTTTCATTCTACTTTTAAAAACAAGGGAAATGCTAGGTGTTATGAAGAATTTTCATGAAAACTGTCATGAAAATCATATGCACCGTTAGATCAGGTATGTGTCTCATGATCTAATGGTGTAGATGATTTTCATGATAATTTTCATGACAGTTTTCATGAAACGACCCTAAAAACAAATGGGTCTTTGGAGCCTAAATGTGTGATCCCTCGTGGGTTTGGGGTGGGTGCTGTCACAGCACCCTGCTGTGACAGCAAACGCCATCGTTTTGATTTGTCTAATAAATAAATAAAAAATAAAAAACAACAGCCCAAATCAACAGCCCTCAAGACCTACCCTAAATCAACAACCCTCTCTCTCTCTCTCTCTCTCTCACTCACTCTCTGTGTATGCGTGCTCGCGCAATTAGAAGAAAGGATCCACCTTCTTCTTGACCAAAAACAAAAACCAAAGCAAAAATAAATAAATATTTCGATCGGGTTTGAAGCTGTGATAGCACAATCCTCTTGGAGCATTGAAATTAGTAATTTCTCCCGGAAAAAAATTAGTGGCAGTGACTATGAATTGCTAAGCACCCATGAGTTGGGCACTGAGAACCCGACCCGTTTCTTGGCAACATCATATTCCTCCCCTACTACATCGATTTCCCAACGACTTGGTCCAACTCTCCACCAAACTCTCATCCCCTGCATTGCCTGCGCCATGGATGCCGTCATCAAGTCTTCTTCGTCATCATCATCATGGTGGTGGTGGACCGAGGTCGATCAGGAATGACGGCAAGGATAAAAGGAACCTTAATCTTTAAACCATGATAATGACGATGATGATGATAATGAAGATGATGAACATAAGGATGATGGTGAGCAATTTGATCAAGTCTTGAAACTGCGATTTCCATGTCCAGTGACCAAATCAGTGCTTTCACTTTTTTTTTTTTTAATTTATTGGTTACACAAATCAAATAAGGATGATGGTGAGCAATTTGATCAAGTCTTGAAACTGCGATTTCCATGTCCAGTGACCAAATCAGTGCTTTCACTTTTTTTTTTTTTTAATTTATTGGTTACACAAATCAAAATGGTGGTGTTGGCTATCACAGCAGGGTGCTGTAGCACGCACCCTAGACCCCACCCTCATAGCTCTTACGTTCAAAACCTATTAGGTGCAAACAATTTTTTAAGACAATCTATAGGGGGCTTTACCTAGGTTTTAATTGGCCTACGACGAAAAGAGGGTGGATTGGTCCCCAGTTAACACCAAATTATCAAAAAAAACATAAAAAAATAAATAAATAAATAAATAAATTAAACAACTATGTTTTATTTTGGATAAATAATATCATTTTGTACAAAAAAAAAAAAAAAAAAAAAAATTTAAATTGATGCTAAAAAGTTTACAAAATAAGCCTTTGACATTAAGACCTATATAATATATATATTATATATATATATATATATATATATATATATCTCACAAGTTAAAATTAAAGAATACCACTTCAAGAAAAATACAGTAATACCCATCACATTATAAAGAGTGTACTTTATTTTCTCTATATTTTGGGAGGATGAAACCTTGCCCAAACATAAAATATGAAATCTTGCCTAAACAAATTTTTTATTTTTTTTCCTTGCATCTTTTCGCAAAAAATAAAATATTATGTTTTTTTTTCTCTTTAAATAAAGACTCAAATATAATATCCAATTAAGCTTCGTTTGACATTAGCTAATATAGTCAACTTTTTTGTGTTAGGACTTTTTTAGTCTACCTTTTTTAGTCTCGTTTGGTTTGGATTTTTTTGACTTTTTTTACTTTTGTAAGAGAAAAAGTGTAATGATTATGGATTTGATGTGATATTTTGTCTTATTAGCTTATTTAACCTATTTTGTCATTTTGTTCTTTTTTAACCCCAAAATAATAGGCACCAAGCTTTAATAATGAGGAAGAGTAGAAAACATTATTGAAAAAAATAGTTAAAGGATGACTCTAAAAATATAAGGATTAATTACACAAGACCCTCTTAACCTGAAACCTCATAGCACATAGAGTGTTACACAATCATTTGACCAAATGTCTTGATTTTTCACTCTATTCAATTAGGTAAATTCTATTTATATATAAAATTTATACATAAAACTTCACAAAAATAATGTGACAATATTATTATTATTATAAATAAATTCATGTTCAATAATATTTTATTTTAAAGTGAAAGATTTATAATGAATCATATTATTATGTATAAAAATTATATATAAATTTTTTATTTGTATAAAATTATTCATTTAATAATCATGTTAGATGCTTTCAGATAGTGATTTTTTTTTTTTTTTTTGTAGGATATTAATTTATTGATAAAATTAGATTACAACTAAAAAGATCGTTATTGCTCTATCAATATGAATTTTTGATATTTCCCTCATCACACAAGGGTGTGGGGTGGCTTCTGTGCGGGTACAACAATCATTATTGTGTGGCGAAATAGGCCCATTTCGGGACCATTTTGATAATTTGAACTGTTCACATTTTAAAATACATCAAGTAGAACATATTTGCAAAAAATCAAGTTAATCGGATATTGTTAACCTTTTCATCAACTCACATTTGTATTCATTTTAATACTTGAAATCACAATTATTATTTATTTTTATAGATACAAATGTGAATGTATGAATGAAGATACATGCAATTATTAGTTATTAAGAAAACGGTGCACATTTAAATAAATAAATAAATAAATACTAACAGAGGTTATCAATTGAACTTAATTGAAATAAATTAATTCGTACAAAATTATACATTCAATTCAAATTCAAGTGAATTGAAAAAATGTCAAAAGTATAGGAAAAAGAAGGGAAGTAAATTCTCACCTCTTAAATTCTTCCTTATCCCATACATGGTTTTGAAAAACTGAAAGTGAAGAGGGACCAAACCAACAAAGACAGAGCCGATGTCATAGAAAGGATTGAAATAAGCTCACAAAATCTGGCAAGAAATGAGCCGGCGGCAGTGTCATGAATTAACAAAGCGGTGAGGGCGCCGGTGAACGCATATACGAGCGATACAACGAATGCATGAAACCCCGAGGCGGGGATGCCATTGAATATCACCGTTGGAACAGGGTTGCCATTTTCGTATTGGTAAGGAATGACTAAGAGAATTGTGGCGAATAAGAAAGAAATTATCAAGATTGTTTCCAAAAACCTCGTTCTGATCGCTTGTGTTGATGACCTCGATTTTGAGTCATTTGATATCAGAGCATCAATAACTGAAATCATCTCTTTTTATTTATACATTGAGTTTTGATCGGAAAGACAATATTTATACATAAAAACTAAGGTAAATTACACTGACACCTCTGAATTCTTTTCAAATCACACTGTCACCCTCTCTATTATGTAAAATATCATTAACCACCCTTGTCAGTTAACACCATTAAATAAATGACCAAATTGCTGTGTTACCCTTGTTTGTAAAAAGATAAAATATATATATATATATATATATATCTTTTCTTTGTATGCTGTTATGTCTCTATCACTCTCCTTTATCTCTCCTCCTCTATTATAATCACTGTGCATCCTCTATTTTCACATCCTTAAATAACTGCTCCTCATTCATTCTCATATCAACAAATCACATCCAATCACTACCAAATAGGGATGGCAATTTGAACCTGACCCGACGGGAATCTGGCCTCCCGTCTCCTATTAGAATGGATTTTTTTCAAAAAAAATATCCACTACAAGAAAAAATACTTTTGGTGACCACCTATTTTTTTTGTCGCAAATAGTCCACTTTCTGCGACTAAAATTTAACTTTTGGCGACCACAATTTTTTGGTCGCGGAAAATCACCTTTTGGCGACCAAAAAAAAAGTTGGTCGCGGAAAGTTATGGCGGAATAAATTTTAAAAAAAATGATACTACAGTAATTACATGCTATTTTTCTATTTAGGCATTAAAAGTTTTATAAAATAATATATAACTCAATTTTTATGGGTTATATATTTTTTTTGCCAAATATGAAATAAGAAGTATGTTATTGGCAGAGTGGTAGAGTGGATTGGGTGCATGGTGACTCCTTGGTCAGGAGTTCAAGTCCCAGGGAGCACAAATGAATTATTTTTTTTGGGTCAAGGCGCTGACTTTTGGCGACCAACTTATCTTTGGTCACTAAAAGTTTACTTTTGGCTAATATGAATTGGACTTTCCGCGACCAAAAAAGTTAGTCGCGAATGGTTACTTTTAACGACCAAAGGCTTTTTTGGTCGCAGAAAACTATCTATGACGAGGCTTTAGCGACCAACTCGCGACCAACATATTTTGGTCGCAAAAAGGTTTTAGCGACCAAATATGGTACTTTTCGCGACCAAAATATTGGTCACAGAAAGTGTTTTTTCTTGTAGTGACCCCCGACGGGCTAGGGATAGTATTCGAAAATGAATCCTTGATAGTTTTCGGGCCGGGGACGGTGATAGATTCCTCCGCCTCGACCCTGGCCCGTCCCCGTCCCCGTCCCCGTTTAGCTCCGAACTGAAATTACTATTATACCCCCTATATATATATGTGTATGTGTGTGTGTGTGTGTGTATGTGTTTCTCTAGATATTTTAGGGTTTTTAGGTTCACAATGTAGATACCCCATTTTTGACCGTTCTCAAGACTTGGACGTCACCGTTTGAACACTCGGTGATCATCCATGTTCGTGTTCGTTTTGAGTTCCCGAAGGTCTCGGCTACGCGCCTTGCCTCAGGATCTCTCAACTCGGTTGTCTTGTGCTTGGTTGGACCAAACACTTGTTGGTTTTTGCTTTGGAAGGTAGAGAATGGCTTGTTGGCCATCCCCACGCCTCACCGGCCGTGGCTTGAGGCCACCGGCCGTGTCTTCTTGCCATCGGCCATTGATGATGGCTAGTCGGCACTTTGTGTGGTCGGCCGACCATTTATTTGGCCGATGGACTCCTTTTCTGGCCGGTACCACCTTTTTGCCTTTTTCAGGCATTATACATGCCAGCTGTGCCAGCTGGAGTGCACGGACTTGTCCTCCATACACGTATATGGAGGACTTGCACCTTTTGCACCCTTTTGGTCCTAGCTTCCTCAAGAAGCTTGGACCCTTTGCTCTAGCTTCTTGAGGAAGCTTGACCCTTTGTCTTAGCTTCCTCAAAAAGCTTGGACCTTTGGGTTAGCTTCCTTGAGAAGCTTGACCCCCTTGACCCTTTTGTTTAGCTTCCCTTAGAAGCTTCAAGCCTTCATCTTGCTCTATGTAAGAGGACCTTCCTCTTCCTGTGAAGAGGTTCAGCAAAACCAGAGATAAGACATATATATCTGATATATAAGCCACTCACTCTCTATATCTCACTCTCTCTCTCTCTTCATTTGTGTGCTTGAGGAAGCTTGACCCTTTGTCTTAGCTTCCTCAAGAAGCTTGGACCTTTGGGTTAGCTTCCTTGAGAAGCTTGACCCCCTTGACCCTTTTGTTTAGCTTCCCTTAGAAGCTTCAAGCCTTCATCTTGCTCTATATAAGAGGACCTTCCTCTTCCTGTGAAGAGCTTCAGCAAAACCAGAGATAAGACATATATATCTGATATATAAGCCACTCTCTCTCTATATCTCACTCTCTCTCTCTTCATTTGTGTGTGTTTGAGAGTTCAAAGTGTGCTTTGTTCTTAGTTTTGCACTAGGACACATAGTATTACACCATACTTCGGTTCTTGAGGTGTTGAGAGATTGTTCTGGGAGGTTTTGGGTTGGTTTTGACCAGAAAAAGGGGCTGGACTTGCTGTTCTTCAAGTGTTCTTCAAGGGTGAGTATAGTTGCTTTATATTCCCCAATCTTGCACTAGCTTTTAACCCATTTTGCATGTTGTTTTGAGCTTTGTGTATAACTGATAAAAACTTTGATTTTTCATGCTTAAGATATTTCATTAATTGGGGTCGACCTCCCCCTCTTAGACCTTGTTTGGCCCCTTTTGTACCTTCTTTGTTGAGCTTTGGAATCTTTTGTGTATTGGCCTTCTTACCACTGAAATCCAGTGGATTTTCAGTGGTGAAGAAGAAGTTTTGAGGTCTTACATCGGGGAGGGACACCCCTCTCCCTTAGTCTATCTTTTGCTTATGTTTTTGGCTCATAAGGGTAGCACACATGCCTAGCTTTGTTTAGTTTCATTTCAGAGGTTATTTGGTGTCCATTTAGCATGTCTTACCTCTGTCTCTTGTTGGTTTATTCTTTGCATGCATAATACACTTGCTTTGAAATCCCATCATTTGGCCTAAAATGTACTATGTTGTCGCATGTCATTTTAGCATGATTTTGGTTTGGTTCTCAGAAGGTTTTAGCATTATTTTTCCATGCTTAAGGTCTGTCTTGGGTCTTTGAAGTAATGCTTGCCATGCTTTATATAGCCTCTTTGCATTGTGGCTTGTGAGCCTTGGGTGTTTGAGTCATAAGCATGCTTTAGTTGGGCTATTTCAGTGATTTGGAGTCACTTATTATGCCATTCCAGTTCATGTTTTACATGTTTGCATGTATTCCCCTTTCAATGCCTTGAAGAGATGTGATCTTATGCTCCATGTTTGGGCCTTGGTGTGTGCCGATGTGTTTGAGGCTTTGGGCTGCCATATCAGTGGGTTTTGGGACTTATTTTGGTGCATTGTAACTCCGTTTTTGGTTGCATAGTCCATGCCATGAGCGGTTGGGGTGGTTGTAATAGAATCCTCCTTTTTGTGGCCTTGAATGCCCTTTGTTTTGGGCCCATTTCTTGACATGTTTTGACCATGTTCCATGCATGTTCTCATCTTATTTTGGTCTGCCCTAAGTCTGTTTTCAGTCACCTTGGCCTTGCGGGGCTTGGTTGATATGGCCTTAGTTCAAGCATCTTGACTAGCTTTGAACCTTCAGTCCATTAGCATGCTTTGTTCACCTTAGGTGCATGATTTGGTATCGTTATTGGCACGATTTCAGAGCTTGTTATATTGTCATACCCTCATGTTTACTCCATCTTGCTCATGTGTGAATGTTGTGCATAGTGGTCTAGCTTATGGACCAATGTTGTGTGTGTATTTGCCTCCCTTTTTGGCCCCTTAATTTGGGTGTTTTGGCCACTGTTTTGGGATAGGCTGAGGCCTTCCCATCTCGGCTCAAGTCCATCTTTGTGTATAATCGCATGTTTGATGTGTTGCATTGCTTTGGTATCATGTTTGCATTGTATCATGTTTGTACATTTGCATATTGTTTAGCTAGTTGCATTTCATATCTTAGCTTGCATGATAGATTGCATAGCATTGCATCTTGCATGTTCGGCACATTGCATTTGGCATGTTCATTACCTTAGTCCCATATGGCATACTTGAGCTACTTCGCATGTTTGAGCCATGTTGCTGTAGGCGCGCCCGGTGTGGGCCTCATGTTACTACAGTTCGGACTCGATTTTGTTATGGTTCTAAATCTGAACCAAAGAGTCCAAATCCGGCAAATCGTTTTGAGAAAACAGATTTTGAAAGAAGTGCCAAACATGGACTGCTTTGCCAGATACAGAGTCGCCACCTAAATATTTTTTTTTAAAATGGGGAAATTTAGGAAACCCTGACTCGGTGCCGAAGGCCACATGTCCGTCATCACCGGAGTTGTCTCGGCTCGGGAGGGGGACTACGATCATCTTTTGCATTAGCTTCGGCTGGAGATTGCGCACAATCATCCGAATCTGGTCTTTGTC